ACAGCGGGCAGATGAATGGGTTAGTCACGTGATTACTGCCATGGTGGGGTTTATTTGTGTCATGTTGGTCACAAAGAGCTGATTAGTTAACCCTGGGGGTGGGGGGCTCCTGCAAGAGACTTGTTAGACATTTGCAATTCACAAACTCAGACACTTGCAACTCACAAACTCCTTGACCAAAGGTGGTGGCATTATCATTTTTATGACTTTGACGAGCCAAAGGGTGGTCTTTGATCTTCTGTCTTGACAAGGAACCTAAAAGGTTACTAGAGATTATTATGCTAAACCGTGAATTGAAAGGCTGGGCTGTCCTGGTCTTGCATCTGATGGAGATTTGCTGAAGGGGGATGGGATAGGCTGCTGTTTGTCCTGTAATAGAATGTCTGAACGCTTTCTAATGGTTATGCTGAGGCAAAAAGACTAAACCCTTCATGGAGTATAAGTTTCTGGAGCATAAGATTAGAGCTAAATCGGAAGCAGTGATGTCACAAGACCACATGGGAGAGTTTTAGGACTGATAAGATGGCCAGGATTTGTTCTAATTGCAGGTGGAGATCAGTGCCCTCCATTTGATGGAGAGATGGGCTAGGAAAGTTGGGAAAAAGTCAGGCACAGGAAACATGAGGCAAGGCCTATAGTGCCCAACTGCTCTGGCAAAGAAAAGAGTCTGCCTTCCTGATAATCTAGACATAAACGTTTTCTAGTGGACTAAACCTAGGAGACTAGATCCTTCCTAATAGGGCCATCTTCAAATGAGGCGTACGTTTGAATGCAATGTCTTAATTTGATCCTGTGGGTTCTCAGTCACGCCACGACATTGCAATCTAGAAAAGGCTCTCTCCAGTGGTAGGCTGACACAGAGTACCCACGTTAGCTACGGGGACGTCATCCATGATGAAACCATTATTCAGCTATTTGTACCCTGTCTACCTTGCTAGCAGTTTGAAAGTCTTAATGAAGATGTCCTAGTCCAACTCAAATTAAGGAGGGCATACTGTCAGAGGCTAAGGCATATGATCTGAGAAAAATTAAGCTAGCGGGGCTATCTGTCAGATGATAGGAGGTCTTGGCAGCCATTCTGTCTAAACAACCTCTTAGTGAACTTTCTGCAGGTTGGAAAGTGTCCTCATGTGGCATCCTCGGGGGCTCTTTGTGACTCTCTTATAACTTTAGCTTAATGGCAATAGGCAGAGACATGTGGAAATCCTATTTTGAGGCGCACAGCCATTTTAGAACTCCCAGAGATGGGGTCTGCCGAGGCATACTCTCACAGGGTATAGCTTGTCTCCTAGAAGTGATTTCAGTGTTTGTCACTCCCTCCGACTTTCCCCCAGGTTTTCTGCTGTTGTCGTTAGGTATATGTTTTGAAAATGACAAACAATCAGATTGAGGAAAAAGCGTATGGTGTGTTTATGTCTGTGGGCATAAATGTGGAATAAATATATGTAATGCATGGTGGCTGATTCTTTGAGGCATTTATCTTCACTTGTGAGGAGAGACAGGATAAGTCACTCATGACGGTGCCAACCCAGATCCATCCTTCATCACTACACTCATGAAGATAAATGCCACACTTAAAGAGACCACAGCTATCACGTGTCCTTTCAGACTGGAGATTCAGAGTGGTTAGAGCAAGAGGTCAGCCGGTGCTGTGATTTAAAAATCGAGAACACTTTGTCCGTGTCCTCTCCTACCCTCACACGCCTTGGTCCTCCATGTCAACCTAGGGTACGACCAGCAGCTAAACAGATGGCTAGGTAGCATTCATCTGTGTCTACAGGTATTCACTTCACTTTAATTTTTAAAATATTCATTTCCTGGTATATGCCAAGCACAGAACCCTGCAATGACAACGCACTACTTAATAGGATAGTGTTCCTGGTCCTCACAGTGATAAGTATGATAAATGGTATAAGGAAGAAAGCCCTATGGCAAAATAATAAGCGAGTGGTTGGTTCTTTCTGTGAGCGGGTCAGGTGAGAAAGGAACACGTCAGAATGGAAGTATTGAGAGATGATAATATTTGAACGCCTGTATTGGAAAAACAGTATGGGCACCTTAGCCTTCCATGATGTACAAGTCGGGGCCCATTGGATTCTCTAGCTATGGCGTGACAAATGGGTGACTTCTCTGCTCTGAGCTTGCGGACCCACTGGAGATAAGCGGTAGATAGAATCCCTTTATAACTCAGTAATGGAATGTACTTGTTCTGCTTTTCTTTTTAATTACCCTTCCACAAATGGGATGTGTGAGGTAAGAAGACGTCATTGAAACAAAAATATTGGCTCTTTTTCCCTTGGCTGGTACATAAAAGTATATACAACAAGATGTAAACTACAGGAGAATGCTATAAATCTGAGAAATCTGATTGACAAATCAGACATTTCTAAGATCATTAGCCCTCTTTGAAAAATGTTAGTTTGAACCATACAATATGGTGGTATTCAACAGCTTCTGGTTTAGGAAATAGTAATTTCTTAATGTTCTGTCAAATCATGCTGATTGATTTTGTGGTTCCAATTGAGGGTGTGTTTTAGTTGCGTTATTTTTTCTATATGTAAGCTTATTTCACTTGATAAGCTATTCTGTCCTCTTATTCAAGAACATTATGAACACATACTACATGGCAGTTACCGGGCTGTGAATGCATGTGACATGGAGCATGTTGCCTGTCTCAGTGGGTCATGCTGGCTCATGAGACAGAAAGACATAGAGCGAGCAGTACAATAATACGCAAGTGGCACGTGGTTGATAGTCGCGCAAATAAATGTTCTTTTTGTTCTTCTCACACTGGAAGTAGTAGTGCAGAGTGTCAAAGGAACATATATAGTAAGTTTCTACCAATTTAAATAAACATGAAAGGATTCACGGCAGAAATATCCCCTTTTTTCCCTTAATGTTTGTGTTAAAAGACCGTGTAATAGGCAGATCACCAGCCTAGGGCTTCAAATATTTCACTTCTTGGTATACTTTTATCACGTATTCATTTCTAGAACACGATAACATTATTTAACGTCCCTATTCTTGTACCTTCTCATCTACAAAATGGAAAAATGTAATCTCGCCTCCCTGCCTTCTGTAACTGTGAGGGTCAGACAGGATAACGCGTATGAGAAAATTTTCTAAGTTGTGATGTTTACGTTGGAATCAAGAATTGTACTGTAGGCAGATTAATTTCTGATCTCAAGTGGGGAAATTAAATTAGCAGCAATAGACACAAGTCTACAAGTCAGCTTGAGATTTGGGTTTGCCAGTCTTCTTTTTTGATGGTGTTTAAAGCTGTTCTAGGACCACCTAGGCAGGGGCATACCTCATCAACAAGGGTACCTGCGTCATCAGTGTTTATATTCCTAACCCTGAAATGCACTCCACGTCTTGATAATAATTTTTTTTTTAAAGAATGAATATAGATAAAGAATACAATCCAATAAAGGGTTAGTATAGATAAAGAAGAGGTCTGCAGACTGAGCCCTGGGTCACTCCAAGGTACTTTGGCCCATGAGATAAGATGGGAACAGCAATGGATGCTGAGCAGATGATCACTGAGGTGGGAAGAGAATCAGGAGAGTTGTTTTCGAAGAGCCAAGCGCAGAAAGTGTTTCAGAAAGAACAGTAGCTACTAGTTCTTGCCTAATGTACACTTGAGACTTGGCTGCTTGATTTAGCAATAAACATACATTCTCACCTCCCACCTTTTCTGTGCCCTCTCCACACACACACTAATCTAGTTACCCACTGCCTTGCTCTCAAGTTGCTGTAAATTCCAGGCACATTAAATCACAACTCATATTCCATATGCCCTACTGGAGGGTAGTTCATGTTTTCTGAAGCCGTGAGATGAGGGGACATTTTTTATAAGGTTGAGTCATAGTTTTTTTTAAAACAATGATGGATCATCTCTAAAATACGTTTTTATCATATTTGGTTGTGTTTGTGTAATCATAGCACTATTCACTAGTGATATGTTCCTGTGATGTTGAAAAAGCACTTGTCCTCATATTATCTGTTCCAAACAAAAGCATCAATGCCATAAGATAGCCAGCAGTGAAGATCCGCCATCAGACTATACTGCCTGCTAACACCCCCTTGCTGTCATCAGCCACAGACCCATGCTTCCCCCCTCCTTCCTTGCGATGTTAACATCTGCCTCTCTGTTCTCTTCGGTCTTACTCCTGATAGAGTTCTTGGTGATTGTGGTGTTCATGCCGTTCCCTGGATCTGGATTACTCGTTGTGAGGGATCTCTCTACCTGCCACCACTCAGGGCTTCCTCTTTGTGTATAGTCTGGGCCCCTTGTATTTCTAAGGTTGGGATTTAAAGATTGTATTTGTTAAAATTTTAAAATGTCTGTTTGGCTTCATGATTCCTTGAAAAATGTGAGCTGTGTCTCTCAGTATCTCGTTTGTGCTTCAAGTCTTGTGCGGCCCTCAATTTCAGATTCCAAGTTTAATTTTGCCTATGCTACAGGAGTGGTGGAGTGGAGAAAGAAAGACGATGTGTCTCTGTGACTCTATTGTTTTGAGAATGTGGGGTGAGAATTCCTGATTGGGGTTGTTGGCGGATGCCTGTGTCAAACTTTTAACATTCCATTGACTTTCAGAATCAATAGTTCTGTTTAACTACTTGCATCTTTATAATGAATTATCGGATTTGCTCTTAGAAGTTGGTTCTGGTCAGGACACAAGACCAGAGAGAAAATGTGACTTATTTATAGTCATGTGTCTAATAAGTCAGAACCAAGTTCAGACTAAAGGGCTTTTGATTCCAAATGCATTTTTTTGATTGGCGTTAAAAAAAAATGCATTGTTCAAAATGGCTAATAGTTAAGATAGCTGCCTAGGCTTTCTGCCCAGAACAGTGTTACGATGCAGTGGTGATTTAATAAATGTCACCACTGGTGTCTGTGGTGGTGATTTTGATGGTGGCAGACCAAGAACTGTGCTGAATTGTTCTAATGATGCCTTTTTCTTTTCTTTTCTCTCCCTCTCTCTCTTTTTTAGATTGGCAAACACATTGCCACTTACAGCCTAGAGACCCCAGTGGAGAGCTAGGTGGGTGATGATTCATGCTAAATCTTTCTCACAATATGCTGTACCTACCACAGCAGCTAATGTGAGGCGGTTCATTATACACTGTCAAATCCAATAACAGCGACGACTGGCTTTGCTAGCATGAGCAATTTGTGGGAAGTCCAGCCACTGCAAACCACTACTGAACTCCAGAAAATAAGCTGCAGCATGGTAGAAAGAAACGTAGCCACGGAGTCATATTTGCAAATTTCTTGTAGGTCTCTTTCTGCCAGTTTAGCCTTCATGTTCCTAGCTTGACTCCAGAGATGACTTTCCTTGAGATTCACTTACCTTGGGAGCGCCTCCTCCCTCGGTGGTATTTTATGGACTAAATAGCTTATAAGGGTTCTGGCAACTCATGGGCAGAGCTAGGAATGTGGGTCTCCTATGGCAGGGTTTCTGAAGCGCCCTTTTCCCCTCACCCTTCTGCCACAAGCCACGCCATACACATATACACGTTCTAGTTGTGCTGAGGCACAGTCTCTGGAGGTGGTAGACTTACCTCTAGACAGGTAAGATCGGGGATGGCGGGAGACAGGAGCACCGACTCTTGCCTGTGATTTATGATTATGTCTCCATTAAACTCTAATCCCCTCGAAGGCAGTGTTCTGGATTTACCTCAACTAACACCTGTGAGCTCCAGTTGACCCTTTGTGGGTATTTATTGATGAAATTGACACATTCCTTTCCAAAGGGCTTAGTATTAAGGCAGGGAGACCGCGGTTTCATCTTCTCACCTCCCCGGTCCCTGGTACAGTGCCTGACACATATTAGGCGGAAAACTATGTGTCTGTCTCGGGAAATAACAGAGGTGTAAATGAGTCTATCAATTAGATGGTTCCCTGTGGCCAAATTAAAGCCCAAGCGAATGGTTTTCGACCATCAGAGACAGAAAAGCGATGGCTTCAAATCATTTTTCTTCAGGCCGCCAGGAATGATGCCCTTAAAAAGCGGTTGTGTATTTTGGAAGGCAAAAGCTAATCTGAAGCTGTTTTCTTTATTTTTATATTCAAATGCCGATAAAACAGAAAAACACCGGAGACCTATTCATTGCTCACAAATGATATATGGGGTAATAATGCACTTGCTTCTCCAGCTGTGCTACACTCTGGCGCTGTCTTGGGTTTAATTGAAAATACGCTGTGACCTTGGTTTTGTTCACTGGGCATGGTGGGTATAATTGGCACGAGGCCTCTGAAGAACTCCCTTCTAACGAATGTCCTTTGGCTAATTTGGGGTTCGCCTGAGGGAAATAATGTGTGAGATCCTGTAAAAACAAGATGCATTTTATTTGTGTGCAACGCACACAGAGTTCATGATTTTTTAAAAAAACTTTTATTTTTCCATACCTATCTGTGGAGTCCTAAATGCTCTCAGCATAATAGTATTATCCCTCACAGTCTCATGTTTCATCACAATTAAATAAACAGCTTGTGAATCGCAGTCCAAAAAAACACGTCTGTGTTCCACTCTTAACTTGAGGGGTTTCCATAGAAACCACAGGCAGCAAGTTTCACTGACATTTCTCGGACTTGAGGCTATATGCAGCCTTGACGTCTCCCTGTGTCGCTCTGTGTGTGTCTTCCTTCCTCCCTCCACCCTCCCAGCCCACCTCCCCTTAGTTCTCTCCTCCTGCTTCCCTGCCTCCACACTTTCTCTTATTAGCAATGAGGAAGTAATTTGGACTCAGTTAGATTTAACAAATGCAATAATACTCAAATGGGCTCTGATCCTTAAGTGTAATTGTGTTATTAGCTGGAAATGTTTTTCTTCAAGAATAAAAGAATTGAGAGTGACGTCTGCTAAGGTCGCTCATGTTGGCAAGAAAAAATCCCTTGACTGACCGTTCAAAGTCCGTGGTCTCTGCATCAAGGTCCGCCTTTGGGTCCAGCTGAGGCTTTCCCTTGAGGTCGTCAACCCACACTGGTATTTCTCCTGAGTTCTGATATTCACTCTGGAGCAGAAAAGCATGGTGCTGATCGTATTCCGGGAGAAACTAGGAATTTTTTTTAGGAAAGACAAAGCAGACTGTGTACTGAGTACCTGCCATGCAATGAGTATTTTGTCATGTGTCTTCGTTTGTGTTGTCTTGGTTAATCCCACAAAGTTTATTGCCAGCCAGTGCACAGAAAAAAGATGAATCTGGAACTGGTAGTTTAAGTTCAGGCTTCACCACAGGCTGGCGGCAGAGCCCTGGGTGTGATGCTTACATGCTGTCTTGGTTTCTCAAAGACAAAATGAATACAGGCACTTTAAAGCAATGGGATTTTGTTAGGATTAAAGATGCTAATGTAGCTAGTACGTCAGAGCAGTTGTATTTCTTTTTAGCCCTGTAGAAATGGGGAAAACAAGTTGCCAAAAGATTGCATCACTCAGCCAAAGCTGTATACTGAGCAGGAGGTATATCCATACAGCACGGTGACCCCTGACCATCCTGGGATCTGTCAGTAATTGTGTGATTTGGGATAAGTGACAAACTTACAGAGCATCTGGTTCCTCATCTGTATAACGAGGATAATGGTTCTTACCTCAGGGAGTGGTTGGGAGGGCTAAATAACTCTGTGCATGTAAGTTACTTACTGCCTGCCCTATGGAAAGCTGACTGCATTTTTAATCTCCACCTCCCTCCCTGTAGGTGGTAGATTTACCTCTAGACAGGTAAGATTGGGGATGGCGGGAGACAGGAGCATCGACTCTTGCCTGTGATTTATGATTATGTCTCCCTGCCCCAACCTTTCTGATTTGTTTTGTTTTGTGTGTGGATTCAACATTAAAGAAAGAACAGTGTCCAAAGTCTATCTAATAGTTACAGTTTAAAATGACCTCACAATTCATAAACTGCCTCATGTTATCCTGATAGCAATGAGAAAGAAAAGTCAGGTGCAATCACACCCACTGTATAGATTAGGCAAAAGAAGAATCTGTGTTAATGACAAGATTTTCGATACAGTGAATGAAGAAACTTGGTTTTTTACCTCATTCCCCAGAGTCCATTTTATCATTAAAATTGCATATTTTTTTTTTTGAGTTGGAGTCTCACCTCATCGCTCAGGCTGGAGTGTAGTGGCACGCTCACGACCACCCCGGTGTCAGTCTGCTGGGCTCTGGCAGTCGTTCCACCTCAGCCTTCCAAGTAGCCAGAACTACAGGAATGTGCTACCATACCAGGCTAATTTTTGACTTATTGCAGAGACAAGGTTTCGCCAAGTGGCCCGGGCTGGTCCCAAACCCGTGGGCTCAGGCAACCCACTCGCCTCGGCCTCCCAAAGTGTTGGGATGACAGGCTGAGCCCATTATTCTAAATTTAGATCTTATGTGCGCAAGTTTTAAGGCAAAGGCCCAGCAGATAGTGACTTATCTTTCTAACAAATATGAGGGGAGGACACATGGTAGAAAAGAAGGGAAGGGGGTAAGGAGAGGGTGGTTACAATATCTGTTGCAATCTGCCCTTAGGTCATTATTCAGGATCTGAAGGGACATGTAGAAATGTAATTCTCAATCCAAGGGAGAGATGAGGCATTGATTTTGTGCAGCAATATGCCCAAGTGTTGCTGGTTGGAAAAATGGGGTGAGGTAAGAGAGAAAGCCCTTCAAAAAATCCAGGAGCCAGGCTCGGTGGCTCAGCCTGTAATCCCGTGCCTTGGGGAGGCTGAGGTGAGTGGATTGCCTGAGCCCGCGGGTTCGAGACCCGCCTGGGCAGCGAGACCTCATCTCTACAATAAATCAAAAAAGTAGCCGGCGAGGTAGTGCGCGCCTGTAGCTCCAGCTACTGGAAGTCTGAGGCAGAAGGATCGCCGGAGCCCAGCAGGTCGAGGCTGCGGTGACCGGGAGTGGCAACTGCACTCCAGTCCGGGCGACATAGTGAGACTCCAACTCAAAAAAAA